TGGAGGCTCAGAGAAGATTAAGGCCTTACTAGTTGCACAGGTGACTGGAGGGTGGATCGGCCCTACGTCTGGGTGGCTGTCTCCAAGACTGAAGACAGTCAGAGCTGGCAGTGTCCCCAGGTATCAGGGCCACCAGACGGAAGGAGCAGGGCTGGGATCACACCCAGGCAGCCGCCGGAGTTCCAAGCAGGTGCTGTTGGAGCCCCGGCAGACGTCTGCTCAGTGTGGTGGGCTCGTGTGGCAGGGCTGGGGCTTCTCCTGCTCTCTATCTGACCCGGGTGCTTAGTCTCCCGAGTGGGGGGAGCTGGGCTGTCAGGAAGCTGGGGCGCTGTTGGTGGATGAAGACCGCAGCTTCCCGCCCCTGGTGAGACAGCGCTGGGGTGTGCCCTGCAGCGCCTCTCAGAGGTCCCCAGCGGGACTGGTGCCAGGTACCCTCAGCAGGGGCCTGCCTGTCAACACCCCTTACTGGCTCTCCCTTCCCTGTCTCACTCCCCCTCTGCCACCCCCATGTGTCCCTGGCACCTCCTCCAGGTGAACTACCTGTCCCAAATCCTTGTCACTGGGTCTACCCTCTGGGGACGCCGAACGAGACATGCAGTGACGCCTTTCTGTGGCACGGAACTGAAAGCGCCTTGGGCCTGTGACAGCAGAGCAGGAACACGGGGACCGTGGGCGGCCACACAGGCACCCTCCCTGTCCCAGAGCCCTGTTTCCTCTGCCGCGTGGAGCTCCTTTCCAGCCCTTGACACTGCGTGCTCAGCCCCGGCGCAGGGCGTCTGTCCGTGCTGTGCCCCTGCCTGGGATGCTCTCGTGAGGCCTTCCCAGTCACCTGATCTAAATGTGCACACCCCACGCGCCCCGTCCTGGCCACACTGTATCCCGTCCGTATTTTTGGGTAGCACCGGACACCCGCTGCCAGTGTTGTCTGTTCGCTCTCTGCTTGCTGCGTTTGCAGGCTGGAGCTCGCGATAGAAGGTCTTTGCTGTCTTGTCCCTGCCGTCTCCTGAGCCCCTTGCCTTGGGTGGACACTTGCAAGTGCCCACACAGGAGTTTTTGGTGCCGATGGACGCTTCTCTTTGGAGGCCCAGCCGTGGCTCCCTCATGCCTTTCAGCGCAGCCCCACCGCCACCTCTCGGACACCGAGTGCCAGCACCTCCATGCCAGAGCCCGGAGAGAGGATGTCATTGCCAGCCTAAGTCAGGTGTCCAGTGCCAGGCCGGGCAGCTGTGGCCAGGGAGGTCAGGCTAACCTGGTACCTGGCTCGCCTCGCCCCGGGCTGGTGGGGTCGTGTGTGCCGGCACAGGCCCAGAGCAGGCTCTGGTGAGCGCTGAGAGCAGGCCTGGGTGAGCGCTGAGAGCAGCCTGAAATGCCCCAGCAGCGCTGCAGTCAGCTGTCACCTCCGCGGGGAGATCTGCCTCCTGGGCGGTCGGTGGGTACAGCGCCCCTTCTGCTGAGGCGGGGCAGGGCCTCTCCGAAGGCCATCGGCAAGAGCCGCTGTCTGCTGTGCCCAGTTCCCAGGTCCCTCACAGCTCAGCGCCCTGACGAACGCTCACCAGCGTATGAGCAGAGCGGCCGTCTTCGCACAGTTCACTAGCTGCTGTGCAGAGACCTACGAGCTCTGAGCTCTTTGCAGGGGAGGCACACAAAAAAAAGAAGCAGAGGAAACGGAACAGCCCAGCTAAGCTGAAATGCTCTCCTCAGAGGGAAAGGGAAATAAAATTTGATGAACCTCTGCACAACGTTCCAGCTATGAATGTGCAAAACGGCGCTCTGCTCATACGCTGGTGAGCGTTCGTCAGGGCCTGAGCTGTGAGGGACCCTGGGAACTGGGGCACCAGCAGACAGCGGCTCTTGCCGATGGCCTTCGGAGAGGCCCTGCCCCCCGCCTCAGCAGAACGGGGCGCTGTACCCACCGACGCCCCAGGAGGCAGATCTCCCCCGCGGAGGTGACAGCTGACTGCAGCGCTGCTGGGGCATTTCAGGCTGCTCTCAGCGCTCACCCAGGGCCTGCTCTCAGCGCTCACCCAGAGCCTGCTCTGGGCCCTGTGCCGGGCACCACGACCCCCACAGCCCGGGGCGAGGCGAGCCAGGTACCAGGTTAGCCTGACCTCCCTGGCCACAGCTGCCCGGCCTGGCACTGGACACCTGACTTAGGCTGGGCAATGACATCCTCTCTCCCGGGGCTCTGGCATGGAGGTGCTGGCACTCGGTGTCCGAGAGGTGGCGGTGGGGCTGGCGCTGAAAAGGCATGAGGGAGCCACGGCTGGGGCCTCCAAAGAGAAGCGTCCATCGGTCACCAAAACTCGCTGTGTGGGCACTTGCAAGTGTCCACCCCAAGGCGAGGGGCTCAGGAGACGGCAGGGAACAAGACAGCAAAGACCTTCTATCACGGAGCTCCCAGCCTGCAAACCAGCAAGCAGAGAAGCACAGAAAACACTGGCAGCGGGTGTCAGGTGCTACCCAAAATAGCGACGGGATACAGTGTGGCCAGGACGGGGGGGTTGGGTTTTGCCCTTTTGGTTCGGTTGCTTGGGAGGGCTTCCGGGGGGCTTCCCGGGCGGGGGCCCGGCCCGGCCGGCGGCCTTGGGCGGGGGTTGGGGCGGCGTTTTCCGGGGTTGGAAGGGGGTTCCCGGGGGCGGGGGAAGACAGGGCTCTGGGACAGGGAGGGTGCCTGTGTGGCCCTGCCACGGTCCCCGTGTTCCTGCTCTGCTGTCACAGGCCCCAAGGCGCTTTCAGTTCCGTGCCACAGAAAGGCGTCACTGCATGTCTCGTTCGGGTCCCCAGAGGTAGACCCAGTGACAAGGATTTGGGGACAGGTAGTTCACTGGGGAGGAGGTGCCAGGACACATGGGGGTGCAGAGGGGGAGTGAGACAGGGAAGGGAGAGCCAGTACAGGGGTGTTGACAGGCAGGCCCCTGCTGAGGGTACCTGGCACCCAGTCCCGCTGGGGACCTCTGAGAGGCGCTGCAGGGCACACCCCAGCGCTGTCTCACCCAGGGGCGGGAAGCTGCGGTCTTCATCCACCAACAGCCCCAGCTCCTGACAGCCCAGCTCCCCCACTCGGGAGACTAAGCACCCGGGTCAGAGAGAGCAGGAGGAGCCCCCAGCCTGCACACGAGCCACCTGCACTGAGCACGTCTGCCCGGGGCTCAACAGCACCTGCTTGGACTCCGGCGGCTGCCTGGGTGTGATCCCAGCCCTGCTCCTTCCGTCTGGGTGGCCTGATCCCTGGGGACACTGCCAGCTCTGACTGTCTTCAGTCTTGGAGACAGCCACCCAGACCTAGGGCCCGACTCCACCTCCATCACTGTGCAAGCTTAAGTAAGTGCCTTAATTTCTCTGAGCCTCAGTTCTCCCCATCTGTAAAATGGGACTGATGTACTAACTGCATAGGGAGGTCCTGAGGATGAAATTAAATGCCTGAGGCTCAGGGCCTGGCACACAACTCACGCCCCATAAATAGCAGTTGTGATGGTTGGCTCTGGCCTGGGGCTGCTGTTGTCTCTCCTCTCCCAAGAGGATATTGGTCATTGATCATTCTTGGGCCCTACGGGTACAGGGGACCAGGTAGGATGGGCTGGGGTGTGGCCAAGGTGTGAATCAGAGCAGCCTGGGCACCATCTCTACTGCCACCGACTGCAACAGGCGTGGGAGGCAGATGGAGTCAGAGAGTGGCGCAGCTGTGGTTCATGGGGCCTGCTGCACACACAGGCACAGGGACGGGGATGGACCAAGGGGGATGGTGCCCCTCACAGCCCAGAAGAGACTGGAGCTGCTACCGGGGTGTGGGTTGCTGCTAGACCAGGGAGCGGCTCTGGGGGGAGCCAGGAGAAAAGCACGGGAGCGAGGGTGGATACAGTGGGAAGACTCATGTGAAGACTCATGTGACCAGAGGTAGTCCCTGCCCCTGAGGAGCCACCTCCTCTAGCAGCCGTCCCCACAGTGGGTCCTCTTTACGCTCAGTGCCGTGACAGAGCCCGGAAGGAAACCTCGCTTCAGCCCCTGTATCGTGGTTCTGAGAAGCACGGGGCCTGGTGGCAAACACCCAGACTTGGCTCCCTTCTGGGTTTCGCATGCTCTGATCACGTAAGCCCAAGGCAACCTCATGCCCCATAAAACATGGAAATGTCCCAGAAATCCCAGCCCAGTGGGGGCCAAGCTCTGCCTCGCGCAGCCTGCCCCTCCCACCCACAGCCTCCCGGAACGCCTCCGCCAGACCGCGCTCCACTTCGTGACTGGGGGCCCTGTGGCCACCGAGGCCGGCCGGGCCCTGCACTTCAGATCGCCAGTGGTGGCAAGAGGTGACCGCGTGCGCACTGACCTCTCCCGGAAGTACTTGATGGCCTCAGGGTCTATGAAGGTCGGCTCCTCTCGGTAGCTCTGCTCAAAGACCTTGCGCTTGTGCCGGAACTCAATGACCGTCTTGGTGTAGGAGTTGAGCGTGGTGACAGAGGCTGCCATGCAGCAGGTAAAGGAGCCCCACGCCAGGCTGCCAAGAGATCAGGAGAGAGACGCCGCGGTGAGGGAGGGCAAGGGACAGGAAACACGCCCGTCCACCACACGTGCATGCACCCCTGCTCGCTGCCTCCTCTGGGCCAGACCCCGAGCAGGTGCTGCTGCAGAGAAGAACAGACTTGGCCCCTGCTCCACTCACAGGCTGGTCTGGGGACAGAGTGACCTGTGCATTGCGACAGTGATAAGACAGAGTTGGTTACAGGGTGGCACAAGGAGGGCACATCATGCCGTCCAAGGGGGCTGGCGACAGGGAAGGTTACCCAGGAAACAGCAATGCTCCTGCTGGCTCTGGCAGGGCTGCTGGGAGCCGGCCAGGGGACAGGGCCCTCCAGGAGAGGGGAGCAGTGTGTGCCTCGGCATGGAGCCATGCGACAACAGGGAGCCTTCCAAAGACCGCGGGGGGCTCGGGGTACCGGAGCGAGGGTGATGAGATTCGTCGGAGTTGATGATGGAGAAGGAGACACGGGCTTGTTGTCCGCGAGTGCTAAAGCACCTTTGCTCACACGAGCCCCGGGCAAGATGCTCACTCAGCCTCGCGTTCCTCAAGCCCATGTTGGTGGGCATACCGATAGCACGACCCCAGAGGGTTGTTTCAAGGGTTAAAGACGATCCATTGACATCTTAGCACCGTGTCCGGCACATGGCGGGCACTCGAGAAACGGGTGCCGTCATTGTTACCGTTATAGTGACGTCCTTCCCACCTATCTCTAAAGGGCTTGGTTTGCAAGCCCTCCCTGTGAGAGGCGACGCTACAATGACCTGCCTGGCTCCCTCCTCCGCGCCTCTCTCTCTGCACAGCTGGGACGTGGCTGCCCTCACCCGGTGTGTGCTGAGCCAGCCCCGTGCTGGAGGCGACACCTGTCCACACCTGGAAAGAAGGGAAAGGCGGGAGTGGGACGAGCGGGTCCAGTTCTGGGAAGGGCCTCTGGCCTGGCTCCCCTGACCGAGACTGCGCATGCACATTCAGTTCCAGGAGTGCGGTGCTTTCCTGGCTGTGGTGACACCCGGCCCGGTTATTGGGGCCCCGTTTTCCGTCTCTGCCTTGGTGACTGTTTCCCCCCAAATCAAGCACTCAATTTTGCTGTTCCGGCCCCGCCCTGCCTGAGCACTCCGGGCCTGAGCACTCCGCGCCCCCCTGCTGCTGGCACACGCACCTGGTCTCTGAGCGTCACCCCCTGCAGCCCCCGTGGTCAGCCTCCGAGTACCCCAGGGGAAGCAGGGAAAATCTGAGGATTCAGCCTTTCCCAAAGGGATCCACAGTAATGATGTATTTCCCTTAGCACCAAACCCGCTAATAGATTCTCCTGACACTTTCATGAGGAGGAGCTAATCTAGATCTCCTGGAAGCTCTGAGTGTCTGTGATAGACAGTTTTGGGGTGTTGGCCTGGTCCCTCTAAGAACTTCTCTGTCCACCAAAAGGTCCAGCATGTGACCCACTCCCTGTTCACAGATGACTGGACATGGGCTGAACATCTGGCCAAAGCTGGTCCCATCGGATACTCTCTTCTGAGAGGGAAGCCGGAGATTCTAGTTCAGTCTGGGATGTCTCTTGGAACCAGCATGGTGGAAACTCAGAACTTGAGGATGGAGAATGCAGAAGGAGGCTTTCTCTGGCATTCTGCGAGCACGTTGGTTTTGCCCGGTCTGCATCCATGCTTCCTTCCTTCCTTCTGGGGACAGCACCCTGATTCTGCTAAGGGATCACCCCGCCCTTCCTCGCAGGCCATGTGGGCTGGCCCCACCCCACCCTCTCCTGGTGAGCACATGACCTCAGCCTGGCCAATGAGAGTGCTGCTTTCCTCTGGCCACAGTAATCGGTTCAGGGACAGGCGTGTGACCCATGTCAGACTCGTGACGGTCACTCCCCAGGACTTTGAGCTCCTCAAAGCTCCTCTTTCTTCCGGGGTGCTGAGCTAGTGGGATCTGAGCCAGCAGTTGACGGGGACCCTCTGGCCACCACCCAGCCTGAGGATGAAGCTGACCCAGAAGACAGCAGAGCCTTGAAAAGGAGCCAGATCCCCAAGCTGAAGCTATTATCCTTGGACTCTTCAATCATGGGAGCCCAGATTTCTTTTATTAAAAAAATTGTTTTCCCCTTAAGCCAATTTGAATTGGGTTTCTGTCATTGGTAGCAAAAGTTCTTAAACAATTACTTTTTATAAATTGTCTCCTTTTGCATAAGTTAGTCGAAGTGAATCTCTAGTCTACACAGCCAGAAACTGTGACCATGGAGCCAAGGTTGACTCTCAACCCCGATGGCCCAGGCAGGGGGTAGAGAAGGCTGGTCCCTTCTCACCCTCGAATGTCACCCCCTCCTCTGTGGGCAGTCCCTGTCCACCATCTCCGAGAAGCCCCCTCCCCGTCACTCTGCCACCTGTCCTTGTTTCATTCATCACACCCTGTAATTCTCTTGCATCTTTTTTTCCCCTTTCATTTATGTATCCTTTGTTTTTAAATTAAAATTTTCATTGTAAGGTAATCACAGATTCACATTGCAGCTGTGAGAAACTACAGAGAAAGATCCTGTGGACACCTTAGCCAGTCGCCCCCAGTGGCGACATCTTGCAAAACTAGTGCCGTAACACGGCACAGCATCCCAAGAAGGACATTGACGTCCCCACAGTCGAAACACAGACCAAGGATCCCCCCCTTGCCACTTTATAGCCACACCCACTTCCCTCCCGACCTCCCCCAACTCCTGGCAACCACGAATCCTTTCCTCATTTTGATAATTTTACCCCTTTGAGAATTTTATATAAATGAAATCATACAGTATGTGTGTGTGGGATTGGCTTCTTCCACTACGTATATTTCTGTAGAGAATCATCAAAGTTGTATCAGCAGCTTGTTCCTAAATACTGAACAGTATTCCTGCCAGCAGTGTATAAGCTTGTATAATGTATAAGCTATGTATAATGTCACCAGATTTTGGTGGTGTCATTTTTTAAAAATATTTTGCTATTTTGATAGATGTGTAGTAGTATCTCATTGCAGCTGTACTTTGCATTTCCCAACAGTTTGTGGGGTTGAACAACCTTTTGTTTGTTTCTTTGCTATCTGCACATCCTCTTGCGCAAAACGTCTGTGGGTGGTTTTTGCCCACTTTCTAATCGGATTGTTTCCTTATTGTTTACTGTTGAGTTTTGAGAGCTCCTTATGTATCCTAGAGATTAGCCTTTTGTCAGATAAGTGGTGTGTAAATGTTTTCTCCCAGGCTGTAGCTTGTCTTTTCAACCTCTTAATAGGGTCTTTCATGGAGTAAATGTTTTTAATTTTGATGAAATCCAATTGATCAATTTTTCCTTTTATGTTTTTGATGTCAAATCTAAGAACTTTTTGCCTAGCCCTAGATCCCAAAGATTTTCTTCTACTTTTTTCTGAAAGGCTTATAGTTTTACATTTTATATTTAAGTCCGTGATCCATTTTTAATTAATTTTTTAAGAGATTTGCAGTTTAATTAAGGCTGATTGTTTCTTTTGCCATTGAACATCCAATAGCTCCAGTACCATTTGTTGAAAAGGCTGTTCCCCTTCCAGTGAATTGATTTGCACCTTTGTCAAAAATTCGTTGGGTACATTTATATGAGTCTGTTTCTGGACTTTTTTTTTCCACCTAAGTTGTCTTAGGATCTATGAATTCTCTATCTTGTTTCATTGACCTATGTGTCTATCCCTCTACTAATACCACACAGTCTGGATTACTGTAGTTATGTAATAAGTTTTTGAACTTGGGTAGACTAATTCATCTGCTTTATTCTTCTTTTTTAAAATTATTTTAGCTATTCTAGTTCCTTTGCCTTTCCACATAAATTTTAGAATAATCTTGTCTGTATCTATAAAGAAATCTTGCTGAGATTTTGATAGCAATAGCATTAAACCTGTATACCAGCTTAGAAATTGATATCTTCACTATGTTGAGTATTCTGATCCATGAACATAGTATACTTTTCCATTTTTTAAGGTCTTCTTTGATTTCTTTCATTGGTATTTTTGTATGGTTGTATGGTTTTCAGCATAGAAGCCCTGTATATGTTTTGTTAAAATTTATACCTAAGTATTTTACTTTTTTAGTATAGATAGTATTGTTTTTGTTCTTTTGTTTTTTGGGGTTTGTTGAGACAGGGTCTCATTCTGTCACCCTGGCTAGAGTGCAGCAGCATCATCATAGCTCACTGCAAACTTCTGTGCTCAAGCAAGCTTCCTACCTCAGCCTCCCAAGTAGCTGGGACCACATGCTTGTGCCACCATGCCCAGCTACCTTTTCTATTTTTGTATACAGATGGAGTCTCACTCTTCTTGCTCAGTCTGGTCTCAAACTCCTGCCATCAAACAATCCTCCCACCAAACCTTCCAAAGTGTTAGGATTACAGGCGTGAGCCACCACACCCCCGGCCTGGTATTGTAAATATTTCAAGCTTCGTTGTCCAAATGTTCATTGCGAGTTTATAGAAATATAATTGATTTTGTATTTTTATCTTGTATCCTAAGACTATGATGAGATCTGGGTATTTTTTAGGTCTGGGTATTTTTTTTTTTTGGTAGATTCTTTGGATTTTATGTAAATAATCATATCATCTACTAGTAGGTGTGGTTCATTTCTTCCTTTCCAATCTGTGTGCCTTTTATTTCCTTAGCATGCCTAATTGTACTAGCTAAAACTTACAGTACTATGTTGAATAACAGTGGTGTTCCCAATCTTAGAAAACTTCAGTCTTTCAACATCAAGTGTAATGTTAGCTGTAGGTGTTTTGTAGACGTTCTTTATTAAGCTGAGGAAGTTTCACCTCTATTCCTAATTTTCTGGGAATTTTAAAAAATTATGAATGAATGTTGAATTGTGTCAAATGCTTTTTCTGCATCAATTGATATGATCATGTGATTTTCCCTTTTTAGCCTATTATTAAAATAATATGATGGATGACATTGACTGATTTTCAAATATTGAACCAGTGTTTTTCTTGTTCTTTCTCTCT